TGGGGTAAATTTACAGCCTATGGAAGGGTCCTGTCCTGTCCTGTTCGTGGACTCTCAGTCTGAATGCCACTGGCAGTGAAGCTGAGCTGTTTGCCTTGCTGCTGCTAGCCCTGTCCCTGTCTAGGAAGATAAAAGCATGTCATTTTTCACTTGCTAGAGAACTGTGTATAAAAATCCCTTCTGAATTCACATGGTTACCAAAACCAGAGTCATAAATGGCACAGACAGTTCTCCTCTGCACAGCCTGGATCTGCATACAGAAAGGGTAGGTGGGAAGCTCTCCTTTTATTTTAGGAAAGCTATTGACTTTCTAGGATATGGTTCAGGATTTTCAGGACATGGACCTTCCATAGGTAAAACAGAGTTTGATTTTACATGGTATGTAAAATAAACTATACTTTAAATGTGCAGTATACCATCTGTCAAAAGGCATTTAGACGTTGTTCAGTTCCCCCTCCACTGCAAGACTGAGTGGTGCATGAGTTATATTCAGTGCAGTTAGCTGAAACCAGATACTCCTCACAATCCAGATGCTTTATTACAGTGCATATATAGACTGGCATGAATGCAAGAACTGCTTAAGCAAGAGATTATGTGTATCAGATTTATTGCATGGATGAAGTTCTGCTCATGAACTGGAGAAGAGAAATAACCCACAATGCCCAGGGCTTTGAAAGTCAACTTACAGCACCTTCAATGGCCTCCAATGAAAGCCTGAAGCATTTACAAATGCTGGCAACTTTGATTTTGGTTCCAAAGTTTCTGTCACTTCCCAGCCCCTAAATTAAACTGAAAAACTGCAGAGTGAAACCACAGCTATCTTTTTAGGTTGTGATGGAGAGTGGAATAGATATAACCTCACTAAACCTGGTATCACTGGGAAATTTCATTTCTGTTGGGATTTATGCAAAAGAACATGCTAAGTTTCACCAGGCCCAGTGCAGAAGCCATGCAAAATGACAGATTCTGTAAGTACTGTTTGCCTAAATGAACATCGGTTTGCTCAAAATCTGGTCCAGATTTGATGTTAAAATGTACTTTATGTTAGCAGATCTTTCCATTAATTTGCACTACACATAATGCTATTATCATAGAAAACTTCCCATGCTATTTTGTGGAAAAGCCCCTTAGATATATATTCTTATGCACATCAAAATGTCATGCAATACACGTTCTTTGCACTTAAAGCTAAATAGAAGCTATGTTTTGTCTCTACTTTCTCTAACAATGAACACAAGATCCTAACTGCTGTAATGCAACAATTGACACTTCACAGAGCAAAACAATCCCAGTGATGTGATTCCTCCATTTCTGCATTAGTGGTACCTACTGGCTTTTACATAGCCAAATATTTTATGGACTTTAGGAATAAAATAAACGAACAAGGTAAAAATAAAGTTCTAATCTTAAAGAAAAATATTTAAAAAAAGAAAATAGCATCAATGCTTAGAAGACATCTAACAATGAGGCATAGCTCAGGGCTGAGGCTGCCATTCTGTTTGCATGGGCATGAACATTAAGTGATAAGTGCAGCTATTAATGCACATGCACAGAATATTCAAATCCCCCCAAACAAAAACTTAAACACTGGCCTCCCTTGAAACCTGCATCCTTCTTATCCTCTGGAATGGTCTAACTTGCATCACCAGTCAGCAATCCTTCCAGTTGATTTGGACTCTCAAAGAATGAAGCTATATAAAGAAAAATGAGAGAGTTGCCAGTCCTGTTCCATTTTCAGACTCTAGTGACAAAGAAAACAAGCTATACTTTTGTCACTTACAGGACCAGAAAAGTGCAGTGTCCCTTACTTTGATTTAAACAGCAAAAGGCTCTCAAAGCTAATGAAGATAAGCTGCTATGTTAGTAGGTTTTCAGCAAGCCTTTGGTTTAGAGCAGAAATCAAATTGTGACCATTAGGGAAGAAAAGTGTAGGCAGACCAGCCTAAGAAATAGAATAAATACAGATATTTGCCTTTCCTTTCTCACAGCATCTATGCCTGAAACTATTTTTCTTATGTTTTAAACCACTTCTTAAAAGTCAGGAGTTTAAAGGCCTTGAAAATACAATCTCTGCCACTCCCCATTTCTACAAAGTTATAATCAGAATGGCAAACTGGAGTTAGAAGGTTAAGGAATATCTACATGGAGATTAAACTGCAAACCTATGCGTAAAAATACTACACTTGAAACCAGAGCAAGAGGCCAGTATATTTTACACTGTGATTTTCATTTAATCAGTTGAGAACACCTGACAGTGTGATGGCCACCTTTCAGTGCCATTGACATGACAACCTCTTTGCCCCAGACAGCTTTCAGTGCAGTCACAAAGCAAGAGGCAACCACATTACATAGTACAGGGAATAAAAAAGGACAAGAGGGATGCATGCATGCTTTAGTGGCTCTATTAAACACATATGAAACACCAGTTTGGATTTATCATGGACCTCTGAATTGTGAGGAGAACTTCTTGCAGGAGGCACAGCAGCAGTTTTAAGTATGATGGGAAGAGAAAGCCTGTTTGTACTAATGCTTTCCTTTTTTCATGTTAAAATCGCCAGGCTTTCAGAGGGCAGATACAATACTCTGTGTGTAGATGAAGAGAGGCAAGAGGTAAAACAGTGCCAGAGCCACCAAAGACATAGGTAACTCTGGAAGGCATTCCCCAGCTCAGCAGCATACAACCACCTTCAGGCATTTTCCAGAAGCACAGGTTTGCTACTCACGAGTGCCTTGCTGCAGGATTGGTTTATGGCACAGGAGAGATGATGTGTGTAGCCAGTGTAGATAGCATCCTGGTGGAAAGTCCCCAGACTAACTCAGCTTTGGAGCAGAGTTTTCACCACCTGAGCTGTTCTGTGACTTCCTCCAAGTTCTGCAATGGGAATGTTGGCTTCCCAGGTAAAAAGAGGCCTCTCCCCACAGTTTCTTCCCTGGACAGGGAATGAGATATCAGTGCTGCTCAGCGCCATGTTCACTCACTCCATGGTAAATTGGAGTGCCACCCATTGCTCCTTCAGTGGTGCTAGTTAATCCAAAGGGACTGCAGACCTGAGGAGTATCACCCCCACCATTCACTCACACTTGCAGTGACTACATACAGAGTCCCAGGACAGGAGAGCCTCACTAGAGACAGGGCAAGGCCAGACTGGAAGGGGAAATGGAGGTTGCACTGGAGAGGAGAGCCAGGCAGGTGCAGAATAAAGCAGAGGAACAAAGCCAAGCTAGAGCAAGATGGGGATGGCTCAAGTGCAGCAAAAGCCAAGAAGCTCTGAGAAACTGTTCTCTTACAGCCACGACCAGCTGCAGCCCTCCAAAGGAGGCTTTGCTTCAGAAAGTCCAGAAAATGCTCTACTGTGCACGAGTAAGGAGTGTTGCCCCTTCCCAGTCTGGGACTGTAGTTCCAGGTGAGCCTTGCAGTCATTCTTATTTTGCCAAGGAGCCAGACAGGAGCAGTGCCAGTGCTCCCATGCCACATGAACAGGCCTAGTGAAAAACACAACGCAGGTGCCCCTTGAAGGAATTGGGAAAACAAAACATCAGAATCCTCTCTCCAGTTCATACTGAGTTTCTGGGTTGGCCTGCATCCTGGTCCCATGCACAAGGGCACACTGCACTTCTCAGTGTGCAAGAAATGGTTTTCCAAGCCCTGGGCAGGTTTGGCAAGCCACTGAGGCAGTCTCTGCTGTGTTCCCCTACTCCTCCTCCAGCTGTTTGTTACCATACCTACAGCTGCACTGACAGACCAGTAGTTGTGTTTCCTCTCTTATCCACTTCCAGCAAAGTTCCACCAGTTTAGTTAGAGAAGTATGGCCACAGGCAGGCACTTTCTTTCATCCTTCAGATGTCCACCTCCCATCCACACCCCAAGCCAGGTTCTCATCCCACAGTCCCACTGTTGGAGTAGTGTGAGACAGCTCTAAATAACACCAAGCTCAGCATCCACTCAAACTTCTCAGCCTAATTCAGACTTCTGAGTGGACACAGTATCTTAGAACAAAGCCGTAGAGTTGAGGATAAAAATAATATCAGCTTTCAGGTACAGAAGTCTGTCTTCATGCCTGAAGCAAAAAGAGTGGCTTTCAAAGGTAACCACAAGGAAAGCCCAAAACATTCAGAGTTCAGTCTGCCACAGAATGGACCTAATATGTGTAACCTAATCACTGTGTTTCACCTAAAGAAAAATAAGGAGCACTCTCTGAAGAAACTTCTTGGCACTGCATGGAGCTTTTCTTCAATGTGATATTGAGCAGTTGCTGGTGGTAGCACTTGGTACAGCTGGAACTAGCAAGGCTGCCTGGTCACACCCTTATTCTCCTTTTTCTACTCTATCCCTTTGACCTGCTAAGATAAAGCTATTTAGAGATTAGAGTCCATTAAGA